CACCCTATTTATTGGGTAGAGGTATTAAGTGTGATTGATCTAAAGCACTAATCATTAATCTATTTCAAACCTCTCTATGAGGCAATGCCACCAGATAAAGTAGAATAATCCACAGGCCGACATTGGCACTCCGGGCTGACTTAGAAACAAGATTTAAAAAAGCTATAGTAAAGCTTTTATTACGGTGTCTGATGGTGTTTGCTATAAAACATTATGCGATTTTGTTGTAGTTATCATGTTTGTTCATTTAAAAAAATAATACTTTTCAGCTTTTGTCAGCATCAACAGACCACAATGTTTGCATATGGGATGTGTTAACTGGGGAATGTGAACAACGGTACAGATTTCCTACACCAATACTTCGCGTGCAATTTGATCCGCGTAATGATAGAAGATTTCTAGTCTGTCCCATGAGGCATGCTGCATTACTAGTTGACACAGACGGTGACCATAAGATATTGCCTATTGATGAAGATGTAAGTAAACTCAAGCTTAAAGACTTATTATTATTCTTCTTCTTTATAATGTCATAACTGCATCGATGTATCGACGATTCCGCCAATGTCAGGTTAAGGAAGACGCGTTTTTTACTCAGGTTTTGACTTGTGAATTTCGATAGAATTCGCTGAGAAGGGAATCTACAACAACAGACAACATACACAAATTTTTTTATTATTCACCATTACTATCTGTACTGTCTGTCTTTTTTCGAAGATGGAGTAAAATGACAGTTAAAAATTGCAAAAGTGTTACCCGCTTACAAGCAGCTAGTGGTTGCAGTCGATAAGTATGGATAAGAAATGGAACTTATTTTCCGGATTTAAATCGCGTATATTTGTATATAAACAAACAAACGTTTCAGGCCCTTTACAGGTCCCATGGTCACGGTTGACTGTGGTAGTAATGTCATCAATTAGTTATGTCTAATGTCGAATATAATGCAAACTATCCTATTTTTCACTATAGTTACAAAAATTATTAATTATATATCTAATTTTTTTAATTTTACAAAGAACATTCCAATTTATGCTACATATGTTTTACAAATTATTTTATTTTAACAATATGAATTTTTATTAAATTAAAACATATTAATTAGTACTGCAGTCTTATGTCTGTTTGGCATTTTTCATCAGAGGAAATACTGGATTCCAAACGGGTGGTACTGTGAAAACTATCTTCCCTGTTGAAATTGGGATTTTTTTTTTAATTTCAATGGCCTCTCGCAGCATCCTGTCTTGATAACGGACTTCTTTTGCAAGGACCTGGGGTTTGTCAAATTTAATTGAATGTATAGGTTTTTCAGTATTTCAATCCTTAAAAATAGTTTTATTTCCTATATGTAACAATCAGGTTTTACAGTAACCTGTACTACCCAATGCTTTGTAACAGCAGCTCTGAAATCTCCAATATGGAAATGAATTAATTATACTCTGCACAAAATTTTAATCTAACATGAACGTTTGTCAATATTTCAGGGCGACATAAATGTGATAGCGTCGTTCGACCGGCGTGGAGACCACGTGTACACGGGCAATGCAAAAGGAAAGATATTAATTCTAGATTCGCAAATGTTACAAGTTAAGGCCAGCTTCAAAATTACAGTGGGCACTTCAAGCACTACTAGCATTAAGAGTATTGAGTTCGCCAGAAGAGGCGAGTAAGTAGTTTCGTCACCTATTTAAAACTAACTTTTTTTGTTAAAAAAGGAGGTTTTCTATTCGACAATACTACACTACACATTGGTGAATCGAATTTGATGATTCTTTTTTGGTTGGTAAGAGGATACCTCACTAGTGCCATTAAAATTTGAAGAAAATATTTCACATCTAAGGGTGGCAAACTAGGGGATGAATCCGGTTTCGCACACTTTCCGGTAACCGATTTCAATAAATCTTGGCAAATAATTGTAACTCCACGAACTCGAGGTCGGTTTGTTGTACACTGTACTAAAATTATTATAAGATTATTTTCCCGCTGCAGTCTCTCCCACTTACCAGTAGGGGCAAGTACGGGCTTATTGTGCAAGCGCAGGGGCTGTGCCAATGCACTGTTGTAGTGTTTATACACTATCGATTAGATGACGTTCAATTTTATTGTAATAACGAAAATAGAAACGGATTACATATAATACAAATTAAATATAACAAAACCTAAAACTAGTAAGGTCAAGAAGTCGTATGGAAAACTTCCTCATCTCGCGGGTTCTATAATTTCCGCCAAAAATTTTTACTCAAAATCAAATAATCACACACACACACACACACACACACACACACACACACACACACACACACACACACACACACACACAAACACACACGCACACGCTCGAGATGTCACTATCAATTGTCATTAAATTTGTATTGAATTGATATTCAATAATTTTTATGTGAAATTACTCCAGTACTTTGTTATAATTATTAATACAAAGATCAAACACTGAGAACAAAATTCCTTCAATTCTACCGGATTCGAACCGACGTCTTCTCGCAAACCGTGTCAGACGCTATGCCAACTAAGCCACAGAACGAAACGAACGAGGTTTGTATTAATAATTATAACAAAATATTGAAATTGTTTAAAGATATTTTAGCTAAACAACATTAGGGTAAGTTCCGATATATCCGATACCTTAACTAACTTTAACTGTTTTGAAATAGATAATTTTGAGCTTTATCATATGCTGTTTAAAACGGATATTTGACCACATGTCACTTAGCTGCGAATTAGTGGACGGCAGAATATAGAATTTAACTAATTAGATTTATAATCTCACTGCTTTCCTTTCCAGCTGTTTTTTAGTAAACACGTCTGATCGAGTGATTAGAGTGTACAACACTAAAACTGTACTTAAGTGTGGCATCAATGGAGAGCCTGAACCTATTCAGAAGCTGCAAGATCTGGTCAATAAGTTAGTACTATTTTTAAAGCAATTACACCGCGTCTGTTTTTTTTTCTCCTATTGAACAACTAGTTTTGACTCGGGACACAAAGTGGACATCTGCCTCATACACCTAGAATGTATTCTTTATGCCATTTCGACTGTGAACTGGCAATGGTACTATTTAAATTTTAACAACTTTACAGGACGAAGAAAAAAATTGTTTGCGTCATTCATACAGCATCTGGTTTATTAAATAAAAATACTTAGTTTTAAATATTTTTATCACACATGTCTGTACTTACGTATTTTTATATAATAAACCAGATGCTATATAAATGATTTTTTCTTCATCTTGTAAAGTTGTAGATTTGCTTAAATATACACTTTATGCCATGTTTATTTATTTCTGCTGCCAAGCTGTAAAGAGAACATTACTGAGTTCTGCTTTTGAAGGGGTATTCCGTAATTAAAAAAACTTAGTAGCAGTAGAGCTACAATTGCGGGGCGAACCTGTACGGGATTAGCACGGGACTGCGGGGAGTGGCACAGATACTTGGAGGCCTATACCCAGCAGTGGGTGAAGTCAGGCTGTATATAATATGATGAGAGCTCCTTGTGAAAGAGATCATCCAGGCGAGTACTTCCGCCTTACCCATTTCTGCCAAGCAATAATGTAACCATTACTGCGTTCTGCTTTTGAGCGGTAAGGATGCTGGTGAAATTAGAGGCACTTGGGACTTGTTAACTTATGTCTCAGGGTGACAGGCGCAGTGACAGTGCCTATAAGGTCTTGGCAATTTAAACTCACTTGCTCACTAGACAAGTCTTTCGCATACCACCAGACGCACGACTTGTTCATCCCGTCGCTTGGTATAATAATAATAATAGATACACGCCATACTGCATTTACTTGATTTCGGTCCGTAAGTGTGGTTCAAACCAGTCAACAGGCTGAGAAAAATACAGTGCATAATAATAACATAACTTTATTTCAAACAAAAACAATTATCCATGGTTTGTTAGTAAATAACTTAGGAATAAGGTTAGTACACGGATTTATATGTTTCATAAACTGGATCGCGCACTTCGATATACCAATTTACAAACTTACACTTTATTGGGTTATGTTAAGGTTTATTTTAAGTAAAAGTAAAAAACCGAGACACGTGAGATAGCTCAAAGAAGTGGTTTGTCCTTGTCTAACAAGTTGCCAACGCTAAATAATATCATCTTAGGTAGTGTCTAGTCTATTTAACATTTTAAAATTTTGGTTAAATAAAATTAGCTTAAAGGTAATATGCTTTTACTGTAATAATAAAATATATATATATATCAACAATGAAACCTATTATGAAGTAGCATATCAAGTAAGAATATTAATTTGTATTACGAAATAATATTAGTAGTTTTGGCCATCCATAAGTGGCTACATTTTCTGTAAAAATTAAAAAGTTTAAAACAATATGGCTGGCTAAAACATGAATGGGGTGCTCATTCATGTATTAGAAAGAAACGCATTACTACTTCGAAGCCTCTCACTTGGCTCGTTTTATAAACATAGTGCGCGGTCCAGTTTAAGATACAAGTCCGTGGGTTAGTATGATACAATTAATTTTTTTTGTTATAATTTCAAGTGACGGGACGAACCTGCACGAATTGTTGGTAATTATGGCAGAGCTTTAAATCGCAAAGATCTCAGATCTCACTCTCAGAAGTGGGCACTGCCACTGCGCCCGTCACCTTGAGACATAGTTGACAAGTCGCCCTTACTGCTTGGCGGCAGAAGTAGGTAAGGTAGCAGTACCTCACTGGACGAACTCTTTCACATAGAGCTCTACTGCTACTATTTAAAATTAAAATAAAATAATATTATATTTTTAATTTAAGCGCGTGTAGGCAGTGATTCAAACAATAAACCTTTTCAAGGTGAGAGTGCATAGACATTATTTAGGTGTGCATGCTCCATCGTCGACCTCATCGTAATTTTCCATCAGGGGAGATGGAGGTCAAATGCGCACTTACATTCCATTAAAAAAAATCAAAATTATAAAATTAAAAGTAATTTTTTTATAAAAACTTAAAATAAAATTAAAATTCTGAACTGGTTGTGACTGTACCATCTCAGTCAGCCGTGTGATCATAGGCCCAGTAAAGGGCCCGAAACTTGGGTTGTTTAATTTAGATCCGAAAAAAATAGTTTCATTTCCTGTTACAATCGCGAAAATAACGAAAACCGAAGAACTCGATAGTATCAAACTGTACCAAGTGTTTTTGAAACCAAATGAATATAATTTTTTAATAACCTTCGACAGGACAACATGGAAGAAATGTTGTTTTTCGGGAGACGGCGAATACATATGTGCGGGATCTGCGCGGCAGCACGCATTGTACATCTGGGAAAAATCTATTGGCAACATCGTGAAGATCCTGCACGGAACCAAGGGGGAGCTGTTATTGGATGTCGTCTGGCATCCAATCAGACCTATAATTGCCAGTATTAGTGCCGGTAAGTGCAGATAGAGTATGTGATTAGCATAATTTTCAAAAGCGTTGGTTCGCAATTCGTAACTCATGAATCCGTTGGACATGTTTATCTATTACTAATTTGTACTTCCTTTTTCTATTGAACGTCAAAAGTGATTTTGATGTTTTTTTTTACTACAATTCGCCATTATTCATACCCAACAGACGAGAGCCTTAATTAAAAGCAAAACACAAACAACAAAAACACATAATTGCAATTTTTTTTTTTTCAGGTGTAGTATCTATATGGGCGCAGAACCAAGTGGAGAACTGGTCAGCGTTCGCGCCCGACTTTAAAGAACTCGATGAGAACGTTGAATACGAGGAGAGGGAGAGCGAGTTCGATGTTGAAGACGAGGATAGGTCGGTCGATCAGACTGGGGAGAGCCATAACGACGAGGAAGTAGAGGTAAGTCACTAAAGTAGAGTAAATGATTATGATCATGCTGTGGCAAGAACAAATAAAGCTCCTTTTTGATAATTTTATTGCATGCTTAAACGTAAACAACTCTCTGCGACCATACTGGAACATTGAAAAGTTTCCTTCAGAATAGTAAAAAATAAGGCCCGGACCCCAGTGACGGGATGGCTTTGGCAGAGGATACTTGCTCGGAGCGTTGGTGATATCGTCAAACAGGTGGTTATATATGCGAGGGCATAAATTATAAGTTATTCTCCAGGTGGACGTGACGACTTGCGAGCCGGTGGCAGCGTTCTGCAGTTCTGATGAGGAAGGGGAAGATGAAAACGTGCTGCTTTTCCTGCCTATTGCTCCAGAGATTGAGGATCCAGAGGTATTTATATCTAGAACGCTATTTTGTGTAGAATCTAGTTAGATGTGTAGGAGTAGGTTCGTTACCCCTATGTAATCAGTTTGGGATTTGAACCCGAAATACGTACACTTGTAACTATGGCAAGAAATCGAAAAGGAAGGAAGAAAGATACCCGGAAGCTAATGATCAATATCATTGATAATCTCAGTACAGAGTACTAAAAATAACCGACCTCAAACGTTCGTGGAATTACGTCTATTTGCCAAGTTTTATTGAAGTCGGTTACCGGAAAGTGCGCGAAACCGAATTCATCCTCTAATTTGTTCCCTTAGATTTTCTTCAAATTTAAATGGAACCAATACTGAGGGTAGCCTCTTTTCAACAAAATACAAATCATCAGAATCGGTCATGTAACAAATTCTGGACTGTTAATGTAATTTAAACTTTACCCAGTCGCTATATCGTTGATAGCTCAATACCTTTGCTAACGTGCTGCCATCTTGCGGTCAGTAGCTGGACTACGAGGAACGACTAACATCTGAACGAATAGAAAGTAGTATCTTTTCGACAACAGATGTCTTGTTTAACGCACACATTTCATAATAAACTTTATTTCGATCAATTAAGTTCAAAATTAAACAAGACACTTGTGAAGCATTTTTTGCTAAACTTTTCTTCGCTACTAGCGTGGAAAATTCGAGATGTTTACTTAGTTCTCCAAAAAATAAAACTCGACCATAACGTTTACAAGTGGCTTACATAATATGTATTACAAAATGAGTACTGTATACTGTAAAAAAAACGCAAGGTACAGTACTTTGAGCACATGATGCGTAAAGATAAATACGACTAAATAAAAACAATAAAAATAAAATAAATAATAAAAATTGTTTATTTCAGACAACTCAAAGTCCATATAAATTAGTATGTTAGCAACATGACAAACCTTATATCTATATTAGTATTGTGTTATATTATCAAATTTCTTATTATACCTATTACTTAATTACATATTATCTAGCCTTCCAATCGGCTCATAGACGCACACGTAGAACGTGTAACTCGGAAAACCGCTGCATCCATCCTATTTGCTATCATCTTTAGGATCTCGTTGTTGCTCCCCCTAACCCTTCGCACTACTGATGTGGACATTTTGCGCATAATGGCATAAAATTCGTCCACAGTCCACTGCAGAAGCGGGGAAGCCTCAACAAGGCCCTAAAGGTGTTATTGTACTGGACTCTAAAGTCACCATACGATCTCAGCGTAAACTTGGACCATAGAGCACACGTGTAGAAACTCTGGCAGTGAGCTTTGAAGAGCGTAAGTTTCACTCCAGTTGTACACCGCATGAATCTATGGGCCAACATATTGCCTCGCACTGACAGCGCCTTGCGCTCCCTCTCAATGTCCTAGTTATCCTTTAGGTCCTCCGTCATAATATGACCAAGGTACCTAAACTGTGCAACACGCCTCAAAGGTACTAAGTATACAAGGAGAAATCCAGGGAAAACGACCGTCTGGAAGAAGGCGTACTTCGTGACTTAAGAATCTCCGGGCATGGTTCAACCTGAGCACAAGATCCTTGTTCCGTGCAGCTGTGTCTAAAATACAGATAGCCCTAATTACGACCGACCTGTAATGGTACCTCAAAAAGAAGATAAATAAAAATAATCCCATTATGCCCAATAAGATTTAATTCTGTATTTGTTTTTTATAATTTTCAAATCGTGTTTTCTCAAATTCCATCATTTTTGAGTTACGACAGTATTTTGTAGGTATTGGACTACTTTTAGAAGTTAATGTTGTTGAAGTGGTTCTCACAATTAGAAAAATGTTTGTCCAGGACGGCCCCCTACTAGATTGACGGATGACCTGGTAAAGGCGGCAGGTAACCGATGGATGCATATCGCGTCCGACCGGCTAGTCTGGGTTGGCTTATGTTCAGCAGTGGACGTCTACCGGCTGATATGATGATGATTGTAGCCGAGACATACATTTATTGGTTCCTTCAGTAATTTTTTGAACTTGTCCAGGACGGCTGGGCAGCCACCCAGGAAACGGTGACGCCCACGGAGACCCCGGAGAAACTCGAGCCAGCCGCCAAAAGACCAAAAAGCAAGACATACGAAATCTCATTGAAGATCGCACCACCTGGTAATTTAACCTAGTATAATGAACTTCGTTTATTAAACCTAAAGGGTAATTCCATAGCGCATGTAACACCTGTTATTTTAACTAAAGGTTGCATTTAGACATTCTGCCGGCTAATTGAGTAATGCGACAGATTCTGTCTTTCAGGTTCAGTTACTATTTAAACCCCTGTTTCTACTAATTGTTTGTCAAAATAAAAACTCACCATTTCTTTATAATCTGAAAAGTTTTTAACAATTTTGTCATTTCATTCACTATTTCGACCCCTCCGACGTAAAGTATCGTATGTCGAAATTGCCAAGTTTACAGGGAAGCGTTTTAAAGACTTCACTGAAACGAACATAACACGTGACTTTAGCATTTCTCAGTTTTATTCGGCAAAGCTCATTACTCACATAGAGTATTATAAAATCCTAGATGTCAGTTTAATGATCTATGGTGATCACTCTTTCAGTGAATTCAGAACTTTAAAACGCTCCCCTGTAAACTTGGCAACTTCGACATACGATACTTTACGTAGGAGGGGTCGATTTGTACTAGTATTTATTAAACTCTTGATAGTGTTGTCATTTAAACATTGTTTGTCAAATTAAGACAGCATATGTAAATTAAATACTACGTTTACCTCTCCCTCAGTTGTTACTTTTAATTTATTGAAAAGAAGTTTATGAAAGGGTGCTGCAAGAACCGTAACGGGTGTTACGTTTTTTTTTGAATAACCGTAATATAAATTAACGTGCTCTCCGAAGCACAATGACACATTTATAACGTCGAAAAACATATACATACGTACAGCTGTCTGCCACCACGTTGCGCCAAATCGCCCGAAAACAAGTAGACTTTTTGATTTTATTTATTAAATTTAACAAATAGAATCGGCATTATTTCATTTATAATTGTTACAACTAGTTATAAGGTACATTTAAAACATAGTTTCCCAAAGCGGTCTACCGAACCTAGTGGAGCCTCGGAAGCAATTGGGGGTTGTTGATGCTCTCCAGAGGGTGCTACTGCATTTGAAAAAAAAAGCTGAAGTATTACTTATAACACTAAACTAAATATATTTTTATTCCTTGATTTTTTGTGTTAAGCTAATATAAAAAATACGTATTTTCAATTATTTTTTGTGGTGGTGGGCATTGAATTTTTTTTATCTTGCCTAACTGGGCGGTAAGCCAATAAGTTTGAGAACTTACGATTTAAAAGAAATAATTTAAAAGATTTTTTCGAATTAAAGTCGAAGCAAAAACTTTGTGAAAGATTTCTTCTGAGATACTGAAAATTTTGTAAATATAATACATATAAATACGTAAAAAAAGTACAACAATTTTGTCTAGTTTTCCTTTTTTTAACTTCGTCGCTATTGTGATGAAAAACATTATATGCCACATGGGCAGAACAACAATTACAAACGTTTGGGCCATTAACTTTGAATGTGAATGAAACAGCCCTTGTAGCACAATGTACTGTTATATTATTGTTTATATTATACATAATACTTGAATATTATTATGTTTTTTTCAGAACCCTCGCTTTCGTTTGGAGGCAAAAACAAACAAGCAGCCGGGAGTAAAAAGGTTGCCGGCCGACCACGAAAAT